CTTTCCCTTGGTCCACCCTTGCTCCTACGTTTTCTCTTCGCCCTCTCGCCTATCCATCTTCCGGGATATCGTGGCATCGCTGTCCGCTCAAGCGTGTGAGATCGACGGCGAATCTCAAGATAGATCGAAACGTGTAATCCTCCTATATATTCCATGTAAACTCGTTTTATCGTGTAAATTGAATACTCTTTCTTGGGTATTTTTTTAATCCGATCCATTAAATTTTTTTCGTGATTACAGTCGATCTGAAATTTAATTGACATATTTCGTATATGCGGAAAATAATGGTTAAATCTAATTGTCCCAAAAGTTAAAATTTTATTTTGATTAGATTATATATTGATTATATATTGATTATTAAACGTTAGCGTGTTATACTCTAGAATGTATGGGGCTTTGATAACAGGAATAGCGATTGTTTCATCGTAGGAATTAATTATAGGTATTGTTTCTTCTCATAGAATGCCATAGAATGCTCCTCGTCCAATAATTATGAATTTCCCGTTTGACAACAATATTGTTAATCCTATTAAATACAAACTTCAAAATGTATTATTAATCGACGTTGTGTACTAATTTAAGTTCTATTGAAATTTTATTACACAATTTATATATTATAGAAAAATCAACGTATATTAAAATAAATACGTATCTAAATATGTATTTATATATCGAAGAAATTTGTATAATATATGCACGCGTTGCAATTCGTATGTTCTATTTATTGAGAGATAATAAATAATCACTTTAGCTCAATATACATAAGCAAATTATTGTATAGCAGTGTACATTCGGTAATGAGATAATTAATCATGTCAAATATAACAATAGGCGTCATATTATCGCGACTGTTAGACCATATTCAATTGATCACCGATGACCAATTAAACCTCTCGAACCTTTATCGTTTGCAATAACACGAAAGATAAATATTTCCTGATACAATATCGTATAAAATTTCCTTATAAAGTTTCATATAAAAATAAACGTAATCAAGTCCGTTAAGGGGACAAATTGTACAATTGTATCAAGATCTAGCCGATACAATGTAAAATAATTGCAGTGATTATAAATGTATAAGGTGTATGTGTATAAATGTGGCCTTTTTGATTCGTCATCAGGGGACGTATTCAGACGATTCGATTGTACCCCAGTACCGATCGATTAACGCGCTTTCTTCCTTTTCTTCCTCTCTCTCGGGCCTCTCGGGATTCTCGAGCCTGTATATAGGATAAATCTATTCATGTCTCGTGTACACTGAATGCACGCTGTTCCAACGCTGAAATCAGTCGGCGACGATAATCAGGTCGTACACGGATTAAACGCATTGTGCGTGAATGAACTCTCTCTGATATATATCTCGTTCGTTATTGATCGGATTACGCTAATAGCTCAGCCGATTTGCCAACATCGTGTACACGCTGTATCGATATGAAAATTTGTTTCTTGCTCGTTATACATGACACGGGGTTATATTAAGTGTATAATTGCGGGATATTTCGAATGATTATTTCGCGGTCGGCAAAAGACGCGATTTCTCGTGCAATAGCTAGCGCAGAGATATTCTTCCCCTTTAAAATGCTTTTAAGCATACGGCAGGCTGCTTAACGAAGAAGAGTTAACGATCGACTGCCGAAACTTCAAGCGCCGCTTTCTCGCCTAAAGCCCAGCTAACCAGAGAATCTTGCTCCTCTGTTCATGTCTACTTTAAGCATCAGACTTTGCAACTTGGAGAAAACTCTTTCCTCCATCTCTACTCTATTAAAATTCTTTACTTCTCTGATACTTGTTATAATAATGTGAAAAACACCAATAACATCACTAATTATTATATATAATTTAAAATTTAATATTATTTTAATAATTTTATAGAAAAAAAATTTTTATTGTATATATATGAGGATCCGATAATAAAGGTACAGACGTTGATTATGCACATGTTTTACAATTTCTTTCTTTTCTGAGATTCTCATAAATTATATACGTAATAGTTTTGAATTGCTAGTTTTAAAAAGAGCCAAATGTGCCCATCTATAAGTTTAATATTAAATTTTTAACGTATTAGTTTTGGAAACTTTTTTTGTACAAGATTTCGAATGATTATTTCGCGGTCGGCAAAAGACGCGATTTCTCGTGCAATAGCTAGCGCAGAGATATTCTTCCCCTTTAAAATGCTTTTAAGCATACGGCAGGCTGCTTAACGAAGAAGAGTTAACGATCGACTGCCGAAACTTCAAGCGCCGCTTTCTCGCCTAAAGCCCAGCTAACCAGAGAATCTTGCTCCTCTGTTCATGTCTACTTTAAGCATCAGACTTTGCAACTTGGAGAAAACTCTTTCCTCCATCTCTACTCTATTAAAATTCTTTACTTCTCTGATACTTGTTATAATAATGTGAAAAACACCAATAACATCACTAATTATTATATATAATTTAAAATTTAATATTATTTTAATAATTTTATAGAAAAAAAATTTTTATTGTATATATATGAGGATCCGATAATAAAGGTACAGACGTTGATTATGCACATGTTTTACAATTTCTTTCTTTTCTGAGATTCTCATAAATTATATACGTAATAGTTTTGAATTGCTAGTTTTAAAAAGAGCCAAATGTGCCCATCTATAAGTTTAATATTAAATTTTTAACGTATTAGTTTTGGAAACTTTTTTTGTACAAGAATTTTTCTCTAGAGAAAATTTTTTCTACAAGAAAATTTCACTTTTTTATTATAGAAAGGAATTCATATTCAACCATTTAAAACACATCCCACAGTTCTCACAAAAGGTTTCTATTATTCAATCGAGTATCGTACGATTTCGTTTCAGGAATCTCGTACATAATCTCAGTTTGACCGATTTGACGGAGCAGCAGAGGCTGACCTGGTACTCGACGGAGAACGACGTGAAAATGTGCGTCGTCAAGGGCACGCCCGAGGAAAACTGCCAGAATTACATTCGCATCTTGGTGAAGACCGGGTCGAACAATTTGTTCGTGTGCGCCACCAACGCCTTCAAGCCTATGTGTCGTGATTACACGGTACACGCGGGCAACTACACGATGATGAAGGAGAAGGGCGGTCAGGCGAGGTGCCCGTACGACCCGCAGCATAACAGCACCTTCGTCTACGTCGACGGTGAACTCTACACCGGCACGGTCGCCGATTTCGCGGGCATGGACCCGATCATCTATAGAGAACCGCTGCAAACCGAGCAGTACGATTCGATGAGTCTGAACGGTGAGTGAGAGGGCTAATTCAATCGTCAATCCTCGTTGGCCGTGATTGATGACGCTTAATGATCGCGTACCGCTGATTTACATTGAAAGTCGGTGGTTAACTCTGATCGCAACTCTGGATATCAATTTTCATTTTCCCAGCGCGCTTTTGCCATTAATTCGACATGGCGACAAGTGCGGTTCGTGAAGTCGATAGTTAATGATCGCAACTCTAGATATTAATTTTCATCGGGGCAAACTGTAGATCGTCATTAATGCGGCAACATAAAATATATAATATAAAATGTATAGAATAATATATTGCTTAAAAGCAAAATAATTTCTCACGTTATTTTACATAACTAAGATTTACTCGCAAAAAAGTATTTATAGAACAAAGTCTTTATTTCAAAATTAAATGTTAGTTCAAATTATTTTACTTATTCATCATATTTTCTTTTTATGTCTTCTAAAATAGCGAATATCGAGGATAAAATGGCTTTATATAGCGATTAATAATTATAAGAGCAAACCACGATTAGACCAGGCTAATTGAACCATCCGAACGCGATAGAGGACTTATAATCAGAGGTGCAATAATTTTGTATAATAATCCAATTATTATTTTCCAATTCAGAAGAATTATAGCGACAGATCTGTTATATTCGTATTATCTAAAAGTTTGCGTTTCTATATCGATATTCAGTTCCAGTTCTGTGCGAACTTTGCATTTCTTAACAATAAGACAACAGTTGGTTTTATCGAAAGTATCTGTATAAGTTTATAGAAAAAAGTTATCGAGATTTATACTATATATATATATATATATATATATATATATATATTTATATATTCAAAATTTAATTTAAAAAGTTTAGAATAGAGTTGGGTTAGCCTCAATATTATATAAAAATAATTAATTAAAAGGATTAAAAGGAATCTTCTATATGAAAAAAAAGATTCCCGAATAAAGCAGATAAAACTACGCAAAATTTTTCTTCAACACGCGCAACTCACATTTCACAATACGTTTGCCAAATTGCTATCAAGGCGACTATTATATCTCATTATCGTTCTCATATGCGGCTTTAATCACGTCGTTTTATCGCGCTTACCAACTTCTGAAATTATCGTATTAATATTCCGGCACGACATAATTGTTATCCATTATCGACCTCGTTACACTGCCGTCAAACCTCGTGATATCTCTCAGCCGGAAGGTAAACGCGTGTCTGAATGTTTGAGAGTCACGCGGCGACTCCCGCATAATACAAATCCGTGTCCATTAAAGTTCAACTGCGAGTTCGATTCAATATTTACACGTCAAGGTTCGGCTTCCAGTGCGCGCTCCGGGTCGACTTTGAAAATCCGACATGCTCTCTGGGAAATTATTTAGAAATGTCATGCGATCGAATCGCAACCGAGAGTGATCTTTTTCCCCTTTCTTCCAGTGATAACTCTAATCCACACGGTGTAATTCCGAGATTAACCGCGCGTATACGTAATTCCCTAAGCTTTCTCTCTCCTTCCTCTAAGATTACTTCACGGAAATTCTGAGCTTATGTAACGAAATTTGCCCTTGAGATTATAATACGCTTCCGTTGCATTGTGAGAGAAGCGTGATTTTTTTTAATCGATAAAATGCCATCATCATTGTTTCTCTGAATAGAATGACACGATGTCTGAAATTTATGCGCGCATTTGCATATTTTTAAATTTGGTATATTGTGTCGTACGTTTTTCTCTTTTTTTTTTTTTACTAAAATACAATTTTAATTAACGTTGTAAACGTAACAGATTTTTATTGTGCTTTTTGAAAAATCGCGCTGATACATGATATGATATCTACAGTGATTTTTGCATCTTTGTTCATCAAGACATCAGAGTTCATATATTCGCGCGCGCGTATAGGAATCTCCTCCCCTCTTCCCTCTCCTTCCTTTGTGGATTTAATAAGAGATTTATACTATATATATATATATATATATATATATATATATATTTATATATTCAAAATTTAATTTAAAAAGTTTAGAATAGAGTTGGGTTAGCCTCAATATTATATAAAAATAATTAATTAAAAGGATTAAAAGGAATCTTCTATATGAAAAAAAAGATTCCCGAATAAAGCAGATAAAACTACGCAAAATTTTTCTTCAACACGCGCAACTCACATTTCACAATACGTTTGCCAAATTGCTATCAAGGCGACTATTATATCTCATTATCGTTCTCATATGCGGCTTTAATCACGTCGTTTTATCGCGCTTACCAACTTCTGAAATTATCGTATTAATATTCCGGCACGACATAATTGTTATCCATTATCGACCTCGTTACACTGCCGTCAAACCTCGTGATATCTCTCAGCCGGAAGGTAAACGCGTGTCTGAATGTTTGAGAGTCACGCGGCGACTCCCGCATAATACAAATCCGTGTCCATTAAAGTTCAACTGCGAGTTCGATTCAATATTTACACGTCAAGGTTCGGCTTCCAGTGCGCGCTCCGGGTCGACTTTGAAAATCCGACATGCTCTCTGGGAAATTATTTAGAAATGTCATGCGATCGAATCGCAACCGAGAGTGATCTTTTTCCCCTTTCTTCCAGTGATAACTCTAATCCACACGGTGTAATTCCAAGATTAACCGCGCGTATACGTAATTCCCTAAGCTTTCTCTCTCCTTCCTCTAAGATTACTTCACGGAAATTCTGAGCTTATGTAACGAAATTTGCCCTTGAGATTATAATACGCTTCCGTTGCATTGTGAGAGAAGCGTGATTTTTTTTAATCGATAAAATGCCATCATCATTGTTTCTCTGAATAGAATGACACGATGTCTGAAATTTATGCGCGCATTTGCATATTTTTAAATTTGGTATATTGTGTCGTACGTTTTTCTCTTTTTTTTTTTACTAAAATACGATTTTAATTAACGTTGTAAACGTAACAGATTTTTATTGTGCTTTTTGAAAAATCGCGCTGATACATGATATGATATCTACAGTGATTCTTGCATCTTTGTTCATCAAGACATCAGAGTTCATATATTCGCGCGCGCGTATAGGAATCTCCTCCCCTCTTCCCTCTCCTTCCTTTGTGGATTTAATAAATTAAAAACTGGTTTTCTCGACGTTATATACCACAGTATATTATATGAAACTTCAAAGTACCGTCTTCTCGTCGTGGCGTTAAAATTGATACGTCACTTTGCTCGAGGCAGAGACGGCGGGGACCTCCGGGATCCGCTAGGGTATTTTAATTGAACGGTATACGAGAGCGCTAATCAAGTTTCTCCACCCGTTGGACAATATTGATTTTCTCTCCGTCCGTCGAAAATTCAATTCTATCCCGCCGCGCTCGCCCTATCCACCCCGTCGTTCCTCCGACAAATCGCGAATCGAAAATCTCCGGACGATTGGCTCCAGATGAGACGCGGACTGACGCGCGTGACATCTAGAAAAGCATTTTCCTAATCGGTCGCGGAGGAAAGGTGAAACCGGGAGAGCGAGGGGGGTAGCGTTTCCTTTTTCGAGAAGGTCTCTACCGTGAATTTTTTGCGGCGCTTTGTCTCGGCGGTGGTGCAGTTAAATGCGACATGGGTCGCAAGGCGGGAAGGAAGCGAGCAAGGAAGGAAGCGAAGGAAGGAAGGAAACGAACCGGCGGTGACAGATAGAGAGAGAAAGAAAGAAAGAGAGAGAGAGGGAGAGCTGGAGGAGAACTCTCTCTCGCCAAGGGGTTGGGTAAAACGAGGAGAATTTATGGGGCGGAGAGCGATGGGTCGTTCGGATATACCTACGTGGCACGGCGAGATTAATATTACTTTATGAATCCTAAGAAGCTTATGAAAACCCTGTCAAGTTAATAAATCGATAAAGTTTTCCCACTTTATCGGGCGGCCGACCGAGACGGCGGAACCGCGACGTGGCGGCGGCGGCAACGCTTTACCGGGCGACGGCGTTGAAATAACCGGGAGAGAAAATAAAAGGGCCCTTTATATACGCGTAGCCGGCTTATATTGACGATGGAAGTTGCCCGGAGTACGCGTGTACTGAGTGTCGCGTATGTACGATGCCGTCAACGACGAGGAAACGTCTCGTTGTAACTTAAACTTTCGCGTCCTCGAGTCGTAAACTCTTCCTCCGAGTATGTTTTGATTTACTCTTGCGCTTCGCGTTCATTATTTTACCGATGAAGCGATCAGCATACAAAAGTGTCGTACATAATTCTCCAACATTAATAACGGGCTATATGTCGTTTGTCAACGTGAATGTCTTGGTGTGTTTAAGTCGTCGTAATTACGTTCAATTAATTACCGCGATTATGTCGAAATTAGTTGTACAATCAAGGTAAGCATTTGTTAACGTAAATAACTGTACCAACGTCGTCATTAACTTCTCGAGCCACTCGAATGTGTAAGAATTAATGTTCGCCGCAATCTCGAGTAGAAATGGGAGTTTTTAAATAAATCGCGCCGAGATTTCCCCCCTTATTTCCAGGATACGTATGAGCGTTGTCTGCTTTATTACACACCATCGATTGCGTTCCAGTAGGTGGTTATTACGCTCATTTATTTATAAAGGGAATTTATGGGGCCATTTACTATCACCGCACGCGGTGGCAATAGTAGTTAGTAATAATGGCTACATATTCTAATTGCAGCACCGAACTTTGTGAGCTCCATGTCCCAAGGAGATTTCGTCTACTTCTTCTTTAGAGAGACTGCTGTAGAATATATCAATTGCGGCAAGGTAAGAAATCGTCGGTAATTAATAATCACATGTATCTATACGTTACCTGTATAAATTTTGAAAATAGAAAAATCGCATTAATACATATATAATTATATTTATGTATTTATTGTATAAGAAATGTGTGTTGTATTCCAAAAATTCCAAGTTTCATGGAACATAATAAACGCAGTTATTATAACGATTTTAATAATCGATCATGCAATTAAGGGAAACGATATTAGTTTAAATAGCATTAGTTTCGCCCAATAAACTTTTGTTGCGTCACTTTTCCGGATAAGATTTAGTACTCGCTGTCTCTTTTTTTAAAGCTATATATATATCTTTCACGATGATCGAAATTTGAACGATAAAAGCTCGGTCATGACTATAGAAGTCCCATCGCGATATTTTGCTCGTCGAATTAGCGTACGGTCAACGGATAACAATGGGGTAGAAGAATCGCGTCGCGCGGATAAGATTAACTTTCGGAGTCGGATATAATACGCACCAAAGTTTCGCGAAAGTTCGTAGCCGCTCTGTTATTCTCCCCGGTCGATTTTTAACGTCCGAGTAAGACGATTACGCTTCCTTCGCCCGTCGTTTTGCATTGAAAATCGGCTTTTAGAGGCGCGTCACTTCCTCTTTTACACACACACATAGACACGCTCCTTCTTACGGGCGCGTCGCGCCCGCGGCGGAAAGTTGGTGGGCGTCGGACTCATCATAGCTTAAGTCAGGCTCGACTTATTGTCAAAGACTGCGCGCGCGGAGCCGAGCTCTCCGTGCTCTTTGATAATGACGCATAATTTTATATGACGAGCGAAAGATAAATCCGGACGTATCTCAAACGGGAGAAAAAGTTAGAACGCGGTATTATGAGTGAAGATTGCGACTCCTCTCTCCCGCGGCGAGTGTCCTGGAGAAATTTTATATTATTCGGAGAATACAAGTTCATAATCTCGGCGGAACCGAGATCTTTGACATCGCGGACGCTCGCGCATTTTATTTTTTTTTCTCTTTCGTTTTATATTCGTTTACGCACTCCTCGCGAAATATACCTTCTATTTTAATTATGAGTATACGATAAATTCTCTTCTATTCTTTATCTTCTTTACGTGACCCAAGGTACATCTCGCGAATTATATTTTCTCAACAATTTCGGAAGGTTTAATATTTTTAATATTTGTTTTGCAACCTTTCACGCAATCTTTTTACGCGACGTTTGTGCTGCCGGGAACGTGCGTGTCATTTTAATAACGCACATAAAAACTAAAAATTAAATTACCTCGTTCGTCCGTTCTTTTTTCTCTTACGACACATTCTTTTTTTTTTTTTTGAAATAAAATTTCCTTATTTCACAGTTTTCACAATGAAATTTACGAACGGCAATTTTCACATTCGCAGGCCGTCTACTCTCGCGTAGCGCGAGTCTGTAAATACGATCGGGGTGGACCGCATCGTTTCCGTAACAGGTGGACGTCCTTCCTGAAGTCGCGTCTCAATTGCTCCGTTACCGGAGACTTCCCATTTTACTTTAACGAGATACGTAAGTAGACGGATATATGTTCACGCAATGAATCTCGTGTAAGCTCTTTAATCTATCATTCTGTCCGAGTATAATGGACCCCCTTATTCATTCCTCTAAATTTTGCTTTATGATCGATAAAAGAATCTTAATTTTTCATGCATATTTATGCATCATAATATTGATAAATATGTTCAAAATCACTGATATTTTTTTATTCGTACGCCTTTCTTTTATCTAGTTAAATGCTTGATCCACTTAAACTTGTTTTGCAGAAATTTTGTCAATTTTCATAGATTATAATTTAATGCTCATATTGACTTTTATATATTTTAAAATAAAAATTCTTTAATTATTTGAGAAATCTAACATTAATGTTTGTCTCAATAGAAATGTTATATCGATGAGGATACGTTCTTCTCCAAGTAATTTGAAGACTATCTCGATTGCAGAATCAACGACCGAGCTAATATCGGGTCAGTACGGCGGCACATCGGCGCAACTCATTTATGGCACCTTTACGACGCCGGTGAACAGCATAAGCGGTTCGGCGGTGTGCGCCTTTTCGCTGCAGGATATTGCCGACACTTTCGCCGGTAATTTCAAGGAGCAGAGCGCCATGAATTCCAACTGGCTACCGGTGCAGGACACAAAAGTGCCGGATCCACGACCCGGGCAGTGCACCAACGACTCGCGCACGCTGCCGGATCTGACGCTTAATTTCATCAACACACATTCACTGATGGACGAATCGGTACCAAGCTTTTTCGGCCAGCCGATCGTTATACGTACTAGTTTCCAGTAAGTAAAAATCATTCGAGCGATATCGGAAATTCGCTTATTCAATCGTGTCGATGATACAGATCGCATTAATAACATGTTTCTATCCGATCTTAGTTACAGATTCACCCAGATTGCTGTGGATCCTCAAGTGAAGACTCCGGGCGGCAAGACCTATGATGTTCTCTTCATTGGCACGGACAACGGCAAGGTGATTAAGGCAGTGAACGCCGAATCTGCTGATTCTCATCAGAAAGTCAGTCCGGTTGTGATCGAGGAGATACAAGCTTTCCCACAAACGGTGCCGGTTCGCGGCATCAAGGTGGTCCGAGCCTCGCAGGCAGGCGATGGCCTCGAGGACGGTCGATTGGTCGTCATCGCCGACAGTCAAGTACAGGCGCTAAGACTCCATCGATGCTATAGTGACAGGATATTGTCCTGCGGTGAATGCGTCGCCCTGCAGGATCCGTATTGCGCCTGGGATAAGGTGGAGGGCAAGTGCAGGGCGTTGGTCGGCCCGGCGTCGACGGATGCCAGCAGGTTCCTGCAGAGCGTCGCGACGGGGACACACACGTCCTGCCCGCCAGGCAAGAGCTTGAACAAGGACGCCGGAAGTGTCGGCGCTATATCCGCTAACAATAACAAGTTTCCACAGAACTCGATATCGAATAAAGACAATCCAGGCGGCGAAATTATCAATATCACGCAAGAGGAGGACCAGGACAACTCAGGTACTCTTGGTCTACGGGTCGTGTGAATTCATTTCTCTTTTCTGCATATTTGAATTAATATTTTATTATTTGCAGGTCCGGAGGTATCCGCAGCTGACACACCTCCTCCACAATACTCTGTGGAAACTCTAGTGATGGCCGTGGTGGCCGGTGCACTGGCCGCATTGTTCGTTGGTTTCGTGGCCGGTTATTTGTGTGGCAGAAAGTGTAGGAAAGACGAAGACGATAATTTACCCTATCCAGACACGGAGTATGAATACTTCGAGCAACGACAAAACGTGAATAGGTAGGATATCCATTTTGATGTTAAAGAAACGGACTCTGCGGAGGAATAATTTTTCAATTTGCCGCTCTTAGTAATGTTTGTCTATCCACATTCAGCAGGCTGGCGCCCGAGCCAAAGCTATTACCGCAGGAGGAGGTGACCTATGCGGAACCGGTGCTGGTTCCGCAACCGCCGAAACTTCAATCCCCAAAGGGTACTATGAGGAAACCACCGCCGACTCCCACGGAGACTCTCTTTCAATTCCCGGACGGTTACGGTTTCCGCGGGGGACCGCGCGGCGACAATTTTGGCACTCTGCGCTCCCATCAAGGTGACGCGTATCGCCGCAACGATGGCTTTGCGACCACGCGCAGCGTCAAGAAGGTTTATCTCTGAGAAACGAGCGAGGAGGGGGGTGGCCGTCACCGGAGCCTAGGACGGCCAGCGCGCAATCGCCACAACGCGACGACGGCCAGCAGAAGTAGTCGCGCTGTGACGTCCGGGGGACAGTCAAATCGTGAGCTCGCCGGTCCGAGGGCATTGGAATCGCCCTCGCCATCGTCGAGCGTATCATCGAGTTCCCCGTCCCCTCCCTCCTCGTCACCCTCGCCCACTCTCGTACCGATTGCCATGAGCGGCCAACAGCCACCGCCGCCACCAACGCCACCCTGCAGCTTCATCTATCGATCATAGTCATCGTCGTCATCGTCGTCGTCGCCGCCATCGTCGTCGTCGTCGTCATCGTCATCGCCATCATCATCACGATGGTCATCATATTCTGCTTTCTGCTCGATGACGCGAGGAGATGAAAGAGAGAAAGCGTTTTACAGTCCTAGCGCGTTATTCCGAAATGTATAAATTGAATAATCAAGAGAATAATCTCCTGCCCAGAAATATCGCAATACTTCAATGGATGCCGCGGTATGTTTCTTTTATATCTTAAATCTTTTTATTTCGTTCGTGGTTTTCATTTTGATACTGATGTTGCTTTGGTGATAATGAAAAATTAGAACGTTGGAGTTTCGCGTCGATCGAGTCTAGATGTTACCGTTTGTTTGCAAAGTAGAGATGGAGAGATCAATGAAATTATTTTACGAATTGGTCGTTTATCACATTGGGAAACGTCGAGTCGAGCAACTGTGCATAGGGCATTTTATTTTTGCCCGTTTACGAATCATCATAGCGTAATAATACAGCATTTCATAATCCTCGTAGAAACGACATTCCAACCGGAAATGTTTCGGTGGACGTTACATTTGATCAATAATTTGATTATCCATGCACGTTGAAAAATAAATAAGGCGAGCGCAAACATTTTAGCATAACGATTGTCGATTATCTTAGATCTTTAGCACTAATCCGCAAAAAAATGAGCAAATAGAATAAAGAAAAAAAAAGAAAGAAATTCTATAATTATCGATGCTCGAACATGTAAAAACTCGAGTAAACTTTGGTGATTAGGCTCGATTGACAAAATAGTGCGAACGTTAGCGGCGGTTCGCAACAAAATGTCGTAATCTCCACTATTTTATTAATTGACAATTAGCATCGAAGTCGACATGTGTAATTGTAAAGCTACACAACATAGTATTACGATGAGGCTTTTTTCATAAAGTCAATTAAAGGAGACTATCCGCAAGCTCGAAACACGCAATTTTTCTAACGTTGTAATATTTAATACGAGTGATTGATAGTGCCATTATAGATCACGTAACACTTCTGCGTGCCTCGAAATTAAAGACGATCATGACGATTATCGACGTTGTTGGCCAAATGTTTTTCTCGGTTGGCCAAATGGAGATTAATGCATTTAATTAATTGTACATAATAACGTCTCTGTCTTTATATTCGTTTTTTTATTTGTCTTATTTTATTTTGTAATTTTATTCTGTATTTTATTTTATTTGTGTAATATATTTAATATATTGAATATATATTATTTTATAAATCGTATATATAGGGTCGTTTATATACCACATGAAAACTGTTAGATTCGGAGTTTTACTTGGACATAATAAAGTAATTTTTAAAAGTGTTACTAGAAACCCATCGTTTCTAAATATAATTTATTCATTTTAATGTTCTCTCTCTCTTAATTTCGTGGTATTTTGTTATCATATTAACTAGAAATCTGAATCATAAAATCGTGGAGATTGCTATATTGCCTGAATTAAGGATGCGTTAACTGATATATCCAACGGTAGCAGTCAACAAACACAGACTATGTTGCTGCTGTCTATAATAGATACGTTAAAATAGTCGCGCGCGCGCGCGGAAAACGATACTAATTTCCTAGTTTCTCGTTTGTGAATGTCGGTTCATCTAGTTCTGTGTACGCTTCGGAGACGCGCGTTCTCAACGCCTGCACATATACGTAATAGAGAGCAGCGAGAGAGAGAGAAAGAGAAAGAGAATGGGAGAAAAAGTGAGAGGCACAGCGCTTATATGTACATAATACATATATACAAAAGCATATACATCAATTAGGAGTTAAAAAGAAACGAAAACGAAAATCAGTCCATCTAACCTGGGCCCGATGGTGTAAGTAAGTAGACATCTATCTTAAAGTGCTTCTTATTTCGGTGTGTTTAGAAATAAACGTGTATGTGATATATTCTATATGACGAGATGCTTTTCGAGCATCGGAAAATGGGAGAGACGTGGAGAGGGTTTTTAACTCAGGGGCTCTCTCGACGGATCTGAAACGAGACAGGCGCAGTAATAAAACTCACGGTCTTTTGTTCACAATAATTCGTCGCTGTGCTTTGTAAATATTTTTTTCATACGATTTCTCGTATCTATTTTACGCATATATATATGGTATATCAAGCTCTCATTGATTCCTGACATCTCGGTCTCTCGCAATTCCACGGTGTCGCGAAAAATCTCTACATTCCAGCAGATTGTCTTTCATCGATCGTGGAATTTTGTGAACAATCGAACCTGAACTCTGACACGCACACAATACACAAGTACACGGATACAGACTACTACAGGTTGTAAAATTTCTGTAAATTTTATTACTGTCTCTTTTTTTTTTTTTTTTTTTTAATCATTAAATTTGTTGATTTGGTGTTAAAATATATCTCGAGAGCTCGTCGAAAATTATCCCTTAAACCGTAAGACTGAACAAATCCCCTAACGGCGAATCTCTCAATATATTTCTACTTTTCTTACAAATTTTATATAATCGGCATGGACGAGAAACATTTTTTTTCTTTGACGATACACAACATGAAAAACATTTTGATCAAACTTTTTTCAAGTGTTTCCCGTTCCAAGCACAAATTATTCTTTATTACGCTTCGTCTAGAAGCTAACGGAATTTTATCAAAGTCGCAAAAAGCGAATTGTTAACTCTACGCTGCTAATAATTGATAATACTCTTTCAGCGCGAAATCCGTAAAATAAAAACGGCGATGTGAACACACCTATCTCATTGTTGTAATGACTGTCAAACGATACGTGCATAATTGTTGAAATATCTAAACTGCCATGTGGCACATTGTAATCGTAGGATAAACGATACTTTGTGCTTGAAACAAGTAGCGATAGCAGGAACATGAACTCACACAAAACACTCCCATGTGATTTTCCACGTGGTTCGAAGCTGCCATATAATCGATCCGACATTCATTGTCGTCTCGCAGATACGTTTAATTATCTCTCGGGAGCTAAGTAGCGTTTCTAATGGCTTATTTCGCATTACGCGAACGATAAATTTTTTTTTTAAGTTTGGTACGACAACGTACCGAATAAGGGGTTTTAACAATTGTTTAGTGATTTTTTAAACGGAAGACTCAGGCATGATACCAAAGATATTAATTGTAAACTAAACATCGTTGGTCACACATTGTGATGGTTAATCGTTAGAGAAGGCGCACAAAACGGTATTCATTAACGATAGGAAGGTGGCCCCCTTGCACATATATAGACTGGAACACGGTTATACAAGACACTCGCACGCGTACGCGACACGCGAAACTGACATAAGAAAAGTACACGTGTAAGGATGTTCACCTTATTAGCGAGTTTTAATAATCATGTTGACAACACATTAGTTGGGAGACACTCGCGATATTAAGATCGTAGAATTCTACTAAACATTGAAATCAAATAATGCATGAAAAAACAGAGCGTTCGTACACCACGAAATATTTTTCAAGAGAGAACGAGAGAAAGAGAATGTGTGTGCGTATATATATGTGTACGTGCGTGAACGAAAGAACGGACGAGAGGAAGGGAGAGAAAGATAATGAGAGATGTAGCGATAGCTCGGTGTTCAAAAAAAGTCAGAAGTCTAATAAGCTTACGATATTGCTATCGAGCGTTGATGCTTTAATAAAAGAAAAATAAGTAAAAAAAAAAAACGAAGATTTGTAAAAACGTGTTCAAGGAGCTCGTAAAACGTTCATGTTGTTTAAGCCAATAAGGAACGGATTCCATCCAAGACAATGACGCGATCGAATGAAAACGATTAGAGCGATTCTCGACTCGGTGTAAATGAGTTCGTTTGTTCGGCATTGTTATAACGGGGATGTGTAAAGAACGTTGTTCGATTATAAGCTTAGCGTGATTTGCGTTTAACGAATATCGCGGAAGACGTAATGATGTGTTTCATGCATTATTTCATTTCAATCTCTCGAATCCGAGTTATTTGTCTGTATATTTAACGGATACGAGTTTAGCCAGTTATACTTATAAATTGAGAAAGAGAAATTAATCTTAGGAAAACACAAGATATCTTCTTGATTAAAGGGGGAACGGATGAAAGATAAAGCATGTATGAAAGGTGCGATTCGCGCGAGGATGTATGGAAGCTTAGAGATAAGTAGAAGATTAGTAATGGTACACGCATACGTATAAATATATAAATATATATAAATAAATATAAATAAATAAATGAATATATATATATATAAATAAATATATATATATATAGAACGCTTGAAACGTATATATATTAATGATATTATAACTTTTTATAAATATATTTTTCCGTCGAAGTCTAGCCTAGTTGATACATACACAGTTACGACTATTAATTTATCCGATCTGATTATTATCGAGATCTAGCGTTAATTCGGACATCTTAGACGTCATAGTTTTACATGATAGGCGAGTTGTACGAATTGTAAGTCACTTAATGAGAGAGGAGGAGAGAATTAGTACCTAATGTTAAACAAATTTACTACTAGCGTTGAATATCCGAAACGGGAGTCTTCTTCCCTTCGTGGTCATCTTTTCCCCTCCCTTTCCTCCCTTTATCCCAAATTCCCAGCCGTCGGAGGATTTCGCCGATCAGACGTTCCATTTAAAGTGTAGCATACCATATAAAAGTGCGAAGAGTATATATATACATATACCCCCCCCCCTCTCCCCACACGACATTGTAAAATGAGCGAGCACTAATAATAATGATATTAATAATAATAATAATAATAACGATAACAATATGATAATTAATACTTAAGAATAATCATAATGATGTAATAACAATATTGCGATACCAGAAGATTTTTAAAGAAAAAAAAAAAAAACACTATAGCATTTATCAACGATAAAATAACGAGAATGTAACATGTATTTTGCTTCTTCCTAATACAGTGCCGTTTACGCTATTTTTTACTGTAACTAACTAGAAGCTCGGCGTGCGAGGTGTGCGTCCCGACGGAGGCGGCCGCTCGGCAGAGAGCATACGCTACTTTAAAAAGCCGGTCTGTATATTTAATCGGCCATGTGTATCCTTAAAGTAATCGTTCGCGAAAAAGCGCCCAAATGTGACTCTGGTACACGTTTATATTTATATTGGCATCATATCGTCGCCGTCGTTGTCGTCGTTATCGTCATTTTCGTCGGCGACATCGGCGCCGGCGAACGAAAAGTATTCTTTAGATACGCATCGAGCGAGAAGAAAGATTGCGAATGCGAAGTGTGCGTGTAACATGTGTGTATGTCGGCTCACTTGGATCGAGATACTCGCCGTCGTATTCCCGTGTGTACATCCTCACGGTTCCCCTTCGTTAAGATTCAAATCATCGTTCGACGATTGTCTCGATCACGCGTCCGTCCGGAGGCGTTTGTTTGCCGGAAATTCGACAAAGTCGAATTTTACTGCCGTGAGATTTTCATTGTCATTGTACATTTAATATCATCACGCGGTATCGGATACGATACACTTTCCTCGATCTGGCGAATATTCGGCGAATCGACACACGCATCCGGGGAGTCACGTCTCGGATCTCGTGAGCGTCACGATTGCGTTCGCCGCACGCTACTCGTTATCCAAACGTATGTTATTACTCTTGTATTACTCGTTATAGACGCGCTCACACGTCGTGTCGTTCGCGAGACCGATGATTTGCGAGACGCAAAATTGTCTGACGCGACGCGACGCGTCGCGATTTGGCGAGGATCGGCGTTTTCTCGCGCAAATCGCGATGAACGACGCGAGAAAGGCGACAAAAGACACGTAGGCTGTACATTAAAATAGCGTTTAAAATCGTAAGGCCACACGGTACCGATTTTTAGCGTTTAAGATTCTCTAATGTGTGACGGCACTGCAATTATCGCTCTACGCACATACACACACGCGGTTGTGTGTGCGACATATATACATACGGATACAGGCACACATATGCAAACACGTCAATTGATCCGCTCGACAGCGGTGTCGATGAGAACCGGCATCCGCTATGTCTCAGCAAAAATATAAAATTGTGTAACGCGATTGTATGGCGTACCATCGTGAATTAAGGCGGCGAGTTCTATATTAGTTTGTCGACATTGTGAAATAATTATTCGGCAAATCTGTCAAACGCGAAAGAAAACGTGCATCTGTACGAGAAAGAGAGAAAGAAACTTCTTTCTATATCTCTGATTGCGATGAGATATTCCAACATTGACAGATGAACGCGAACGATAGCACCTTAGTCTCGTGGAGTAGCCGCGCATCGCAGACCAGAGTCGCAATTTGGGAAGATTCTTCGATTTAATTAATCGGGCACGGTTGTGTGCGTGTGTATGTGTGTGTATGCGGGTATGTGTGTGTGTGTCTCCGCCGTACTTATAAATCACATTTTTCGAACACGGAAGATCGGAGCAACCACCATTAATCGATCGCAGACACTCATTTTGTGTAGCACACAGCAGCGTGACGATTCATTCATTCATTCATTCATTCATTCATTCGTTCGTTCGTTCGTTCGTACGCTCGCACGCTTCACGGTAACGTTTTTCTCGAGGCCGGCGCGCGAACGAAATTACCCGATGGATTAAGAAGGGGGAAAAAGAGAAAAAGGTAGCAAAGGGAGAACGATACTAAATAATAACGCGATATTGCATTAATAATGAAGGTATAATATTGCCGATAATTATATTGTAACGACACACGAGAGGATGAGGATATATTAATAATACAATACTATTTATAAACCGCGAGAGAAGAGAGAGAAAGATGAGTCGGAGGTACCCGGCGAGGGGAGGAAGCGCGACGCGAGCGAGAAGGTTGAAGGAGGAGAGGAACGAGAGGCGGAAGTGTGGAGATAGGTAGTTTGGCAGTAGGCTGATGGTAGAGACACGGCACGTCTAATATTAACGAACAAAAAAAAATATAATTAAAAAAAGTAAAGTATAAAATATATCATAAACGCGAAAAAGGTACAGTAGTGGTTTACTATTGGCTGACACGTAGTGTGAATGCTGACATAGGAAAAGCATGCTGGCGAAGGGGAGCTTTTGTCGATTTTTCTGTGACGGCTGGGGATGGTACGTCGCGCGATTCCGCGGGACACGTGAGGTGGTGAATTTTGGGAGCGCGTGGACGTGTTGAATCGGTTCGTTTTGCAAGATATGCCGGGAATGGACGAGAGCAAGGCTTTCTTTCCGCGCGACTTTGCTCATTACATTGATTAATTTTCGGATATAACTACAGATTATAGCTCCGAGCTTGACATTTTTTTCTTCTTGCACTTGACGATCTTTCATTCTGTTCGACCACTAAGTATCTCATCATACAGTTATCGTTACACTGCTCCTTTATTATATTTTTAGACTAACCGCGGTGTTTCTTCATATTTTTCGTGTATAAGTTATCGTTTATGCTTGCGGGAAATTTATATAGACTGGAATTATTAATATCGAATCGGTAAGTTTATAGAAAAGCGCACGGTGCGGATGAGGTCGGTGAGAAGTAAAACGCGAGACTGCCAGAGAGGGAGAGAACGAGAGAGTAGATTAAAGAACGCAAATGGTGAGAATGGGACGGATACTTGTGAAGGGAGATTAGGCGGAAGCGTACGAGGGGGCGAGAAAGGGAACTTGATCGAATGAAAGAGAAAGAAAGAGAGCGAAAGAGAGCGAGAGAATGTGGAGGAAAGATTGTAGATTCGGAAAGTCACTTAGCCAGCAGACTGCTGTTCATAGTGCCCTGTTATAGTGGGTTCCCTAGGCAGAGTGGCAGAGACGCGGTTAAAAAAAAAAAAAAAAAAAGGAAGACAGAACGGAAATGTAAAAGTAAAGTAAAAGTCAAGTGGGAAGGAAAAGGGAGGGAAGCGTAAAAAACGAGCAACTTAGTCTCACTACATTCGAAATGCATTTTTAGATGCGAACATGCGAGCGCCGCGACGACGAATACCTGTCTAAGGATCTCGAGCGAGAGTCGCGTCGAAAATCAATGTCGCGAGAAAACATTGTAATCGATACAACGATGGATTATTTATTGTAAGCGATGTCGAGCACAGATCTCGAATTTTGTCGAGTTCCTCATCGTCTCCCGATGAAGGATACGACAATTCACGCGAATCAAAACCGTATATGCTCCTAAATACGATGAAATAGCGCGTGCGATATTGATTCTTACAACATTTTGTATCCTCGTCACTTATGCAAAAACGATTATCGTTTAGAAAGGACGACGGTCGTCACGTTGTCGAGACAGTCGAACGCTGTTGGATTCCTAGCGTGATTCTTCGTGGTTGTTTCGAGTCCTTACAGCGCGCATGATTAGAATGACATATAGACGAGATGGCTCGTACGACTTGGTCGAGACCTACGATCGTTCTTTAGGTTCTCGTCCAACTTAGGGTTCCGGGCCCCCGTGGAGAACTTTAAAATGCGACCGGGTACCGAAAGAGAGAGATAGAGAGAGAGAGAGAGAGAAATGCGGAAGTGCAAAAATGAGAAATTGTCCGGAAACGAGGCACTCCGCCCTCTGCCCACGGGACCCTAATCTATTTTTCAGAATACGCTATTGTGATTATTACTATATAACAATTTAAAAAATTAAAACGACAAAAATATATATACCTTGTATCATTGTTTATTATACGATTCCGACGATTATATTATTTATAATGTTAATAATCTATATTAACGATAATTACCGCATTATACCATTATTATATTTAGTACTATTATAGAGAGCGAGGCTGCTGCTATATTAATGAATTAAGTATTAAAGAATTAAGTAATTCTCATCCTTTTTTTAGACTTTATATATAAATATACAAACACATGATTAAAAAAACATACCTCTCACATTACTGCGTTCGTATCGACGATTTACTACGTGTATTTCATTTCCGGCATTCGATCACTTTACTTTTCTAGGCGCTACTCAGTCGACGTTTCTGCTTTCGTTGAATCTGTTTGAATTCGACGACTACGTTATTTTATATATCATAATAGGTATAGACTGTACCATGAAATATTAAGTAAAAATAAATTTGATTAGGTAATATGCCACTTCTTTCTGTAGCATTCGCAAAAATCCTTTTTCCACGATATTATACATCTTTTTCTCATCGCTGAACATTTCCTAGATACATGAAAAAGCTATACATATACAAAAATCGATCTTTTTCATGCTGATCGTTAGATTTCTTACTTTATTATTTTATTTATTATTATTATTTATTTAATATTTATTTTATTATTTTATAACAAAAGTAAAATTAAAATTTTGAATTAATAATTTAACAAATTATGAAAGAAAGAAAAAGAATAGGTACTATTATATTAAATTTAAATATTTAAAAGCTTGAGAGTTAAAACAAGGAAACCTTGTAAATAAACTATTCGTCGCCTTTTATAGTGTTTAATATGGGGTTTCGAATTGGACCAGGAAAATCTTGTGACACCATACATTATATATAAGTATTTTTTCTCATCTTTATTTAATATCGTAGCACATACTATTTCAAAAATTCATAAGTACGATGTATTGTTGTATAGATAAAAAAGTACAAATATTTACAAAATACTGTAAAAATGAAATCGATTTGGAACGCTTAAAGATATGAACGTCATTCAAATGAGCTTTCCGTACGCTGTTCACTCTGTCATCGTATATGACTAGACATATTGGACATAATAGGTAGGCTTTTATGAAACTTATCGGCGCAGCTATCGTTGTGCCTTGTTGTTTTTTTTTTTTTATGGCAGTGAGCTTTCCGTACGCTGTTCACTCTGTCATCGTATATGACTAGACATATTGGACATAATAGGTAGGCTTTTATGAAACTTATCGGCGCAGCTATCGTTGTGCCTTGTTGTTTTTTTTTTATGGCAATGGGTCGTTCACGATGAGAGAATATCTGAGCGAATGATATGAGCACACAGGACTTGGATAATTGGCCTTAACTTTACGTACTCGTAGTACGAGCTAGATCGCTGCAAGGTATATTCCTAGCGTAGTTTATATGTTACAAGCAGTGAGGGGGGGTCGTACTTAAATACGAGTATGAGTGCTCAGAATATCTTTTTATATTTAAATGACTGTGGCTTATCTTACATTGCGATGACCACACATGCAACTTAATTCTTTTTCATTCAGATATATCCAACTTGTGATAAAAATTAACTGTTTGATATAAAAATGCCGAATTATTTTCATTGCAGAAATACTCTTTAGAGATACATATTTTTAATAAATATTTCTATTAGCCTTCTATCCGAATATTTTTTAATCTTCTCTGTGTGCGTCTATCGCGAGTTTCGTTGAAATCAAATCTGAAAAGAGCACGCAATTAATTTTATACTATTACTTTAAGTACGCTCACCATCACTGATCACAAGAATATTTCTTGATGAATATAGTGAACATTTAGGAAGCATTATAAAATTCGCTCGTAGAGACGCTACGAGTTCTGATGATCCGTTGATACTTGAAGGATTATTCGTGCTTTTACATATTCTTAATTAGAGATCCACGAAAACACGAAGATGCTCCCACGTAGACAAAGTGTTTTCGCGGTTTGCTATGCTCGGTATGACGAGGGTGCTTTAAATTTAGAGAACAGTTGCATATTTCTCATTTACAGTGTTATCTCAGTATTTCGTATATCTATATATGCGTATAGAGTACATCATATATTTTTCAGCATGCACAAAGCCGACGATTCGCTTATAGTTGCTCGTTTGAAATAAATTTTTAATTTCTCTGAAAAGATTTTTTTTTCAAAAGAATTTTTTTTTTTTTTTTAAACAGCTTGTCAAATAGATATTTCAAAGGAATTTTATTGCGTCAATTTGTGCTTCTTTTTCTTAATATTCCTTTCACGATCTAATAATGGTTACTTTTTGATGAAGATGTTACTCTGCGCATTTGTTCAAAAACATGTCATTGGAGATTGGGATCAGAAAAGTGGATTAAGTAGATCTTACAATACGCCGCAATTATCTTTTTTGTGTGTCAAAGATCATAAGTTATCTCGTATATCTCATCCGTACGTGAAACTCTATGAAGCCGAACTAATGCGGACACACGCTACAACGTTTTTCCGCACGGTTCTATGCCACATTTTAATTCTTCGACAAACTATTAGGACCGTAATACGAATGAGTTACACAATTCTTTCTCGCTACAAGCATTTCTGTCGCCGTCACTCCTGCACGATTAAAAGATGTTATTTTTTTATCGGTGATTCTTTTTTTTTTGTACCCTTCGAATCTCGTTCTCGAACTATCGACCCAAGTCTTGTATAAAGTGGAAGAAGCAAACATGCATATCTTATAATTGTCTCGCGTAAGTATTATTATTACTTACAGTAGAATTGAATGCAGAAATAGAGAACAATGATACAACTTACCATTAAAATATACGAACGTTGATTTTCGTTGTACAAGTCGGATAATATGGAGGGTCGAATATATACTCAATACATTTCTCTTATTGGACCATTACATATAGATTGTTCGCGCCATTTATCAAACCGTAAATCTCTTGGATGCATAAAAATATCGCGAGCGATACTTCGCCTGGTTTGTGTGTGATCGTTTCTAATTTTCGTATGTAAAAATAAGTTTTCGAATATCATTCTGTATATGTTGTATCATTACGATTTTCTCGCGCACCAGCATCCAGCCATAATCTTTTTATCTCTGATATATCAACACGACGAAATTTCTTCCAGCAATAAAAAATCATCCGGTAATTCGAATGATCACATTATTAATGAAAATTAACACGATGATTCATACTAGTTTTTCGCGCTTAAAGAGAACTTACGCGTATACCATCGGTATGTACAAGGCCGTCTTGTTCGTCAAATACGAGTGGTCGATTATGTCCTTATCACACATAAATATATATATATATATATTATAAATAATCCTTAAGTTTTTTTTTATATGTATGTCTGTCTTAACGGAGCGCGTGTAAAAGTATTGTAGGCAGAGATAAGATTTCCTTCGTCATTTGATATGGTCGTGATACTTTCTTAATATGCGTGTCGTTGCAGCGCCGAGTCCGATCACTGACATTTAATCGAGAACATCCACGTAATCTCGAGCGATTAAAACGTTCCCGTTATCAGTTTCCGTGACTATGGCTCGTCTAACGATTAACATACCTTACGAGTATTCGATGTGCGGTGATCATACTTATTATTATATCGATACTGTATACTATAAGTATTGCATTAATTGCGTAATAACGTGTAATGGGCCCATACAGATTCGTTACTTAGTCCGACATAGAACAGTCAATGGAGCGGAGAGAGACGTTATTCGAAATAAATATTATTTCCTTATCGAGCTAGTGTGTGGACACGATAAAATACTGTAATATGAATAATTATTGTGGAACCAATGGTTTACTATAATATCTACCTACCTACTTGATACGTAATATGTAATATGGAAACGATAGAGAGAGGAGATCAAGATAACGTTCAAAAATCGCGATATATAAGAGAGATTGCTCGATCGCGCGATTTCGAAAAACGTTTGTGTAACAAGATAGCAAAATCTAAAAGTGCTCAAAATACAATGATAATAAAAGAATCTCTGCGTGAAGCACTTCATGCGAGAGCTCCATATATATATATAAAATATATTAAAATTTCTCGTACAGTAGAGAGATGTTACTCACTCGATCACATGTAACGAAGTATATCAAAATGGTACGAGATGTGCGATTTGAATTTCGCGTATAGTCTATACATCATGATTCGCGCGGACGTATCGACGTCAGTGAAACACATAATTCTCGCGCGTTGAATGATTAATGAGCAAGCATTTTTCATTTACAAAAGAAGGATGGATTCCCCCTACGATCCATTATACGCGTATATAATTGATACGAAGCGTTTAACATGAAAGCCGGTTAATTATTCTCGCGTGCGCGCGAAGCCGCGGCGTTTTCGGGTCCCCCTCACCTATCTCGGGATGGGTCACCGCCGCGTAAATCATCGGCGCTCGTCAGCCTTACCTCTCGACAGCTCCGCACAATCATTACCCCTATTGCAGTATTTCCGATATTTAGAGCTTCGCATAATTCGGCCGCTCAGACTACAGGCAGCTGTCGACTACAATTTCGCCTATTTTCGAGACTACCTCGTCGAAGGTTGGTCTCTCGCGCGGATCGTTCGCCCAACACTGCGCTTGTAACTCCTGAAGAGCCGGCGGCGCCGCCTTGTGTGGTTTCCATGCGAGCGTTTGTGCCTTAATTTGAGCCAGTACAGATTCATCGTTTATCTTATTGAACGGCAGTTCGCCCTGGTGGAACATCTCCCAGACCAGGCAAGAGAACGAATACACGTCGCTCTTGGTGGAATATTCGTCCTCATACACGGCCTCGTAAGGCAACCGATACGGCTCTTTGGTCATACACGGTAGTGAAATCTTGATCGTCAGGTTGCTGGCGATCAGGCAATTGCGCGCGGCTATGTCTTTGTGGACCAGTCGGTTATCGGCCAAATGTTTTAGGCCCTTTGCAGCCTGGTTGGACAACGACAGTATCTGTGCCACCGACAGCTGAGGCGCACGCGCCGGTTTCGATTCATGCGTCGGACTTGGATTGTTGTCTTTTCGTGAAGCGATCAAGAACTGCTTCAGATCACCCCAGTCAGTATACTCAAGAATCATGTAATCGGGCTCCTCTTCTCGACATAGACCGATTAACTTGACAACGTTCTCATGGTTAAGCTTATGGAGAAGATCCAGCTGCCGCTTAAATTCGTGAAGAGCAGTCTCATCTTTCGTGTTGGTAAGACTCTTGACCATAACCACGGATTCCTTGTCGCCATCGATTTGATATTTCGTAGCGTAAATTTCGCCGAATTCACCTCGCCCGAGAGGTTTCAGTTCCTTCAAATTGCTTCGCGAAGCGGCGATTTTGTCATAATTCGACTTGGATTTCTTAGACTGATTACTACTTTGGCTCTGAGCTGTATCCGCGCCGTCACTTTTGTGAGAATCGCGGTTCTCCTTCTTCTTGCTTGTCGAATTTGCTTTATTACCGGTTTCTTTCAACTCCGTTTGTTCCTCCGGTATATCGCCATTTTCCATTTTTTCTGGAATTCATAGATATGTACGTTAACTTAAACATGTGCATTATGTTAAATTATTACATATATGTGAGAATATCAACCAAACATACCTTCCGTTTGTTCCTGCAAGTATTGTTGCTTCCTGCGACGACGTCGATAACGGCAATATAACATGAGACCAATAACGAGTACCATATATGCTGCGGCTGCGCTAAGAGTAATCGTTACCGTTTTGGTCATCATCGAACCATCATCGCTTGCCTCCAAATCCATATCGGCTCTATAATTATCTCCAGCTTAAATCATAATTATTCTATCGTTATAAAATAGCTTCCAATTAATTTGAAATAGCTTAGTAATATCTCACAAGTTGAAATTATAAGTATGTGTTCCGAATAGCACGAAAATATTAGCCGCGTTCGCGTCTCGCAAATCAATTCGACGCTGCCTCGCGCGCGCTCAATCATGCACGAAAAGACCGCATAACTCGTCTCAGTACTAAAACTCGCGGCGCCTAATTAACGTCACGTTTGCGAGTTCAAAATGTGGCGAGCTTTAATTCGCAGAATTTGACTCTGATCTTCGGGAAAGTTCTCATCCACGCATTAACGACCGTTAGAGCCGAACAACCGTTGAGAATCTTCCAAAAGATTGGAGACAATAAAATCGCGTTGCGAGAAACGGCAGACGCAATCGCTCGACCGCAATTAAAGCAACTCGCTCGCACTTCGCAAATTACTTAGTAAATCGCTTACGTGATACGACTCGGCAATTTATCGGTTCTTCGACTATTTCGACATCTAAAAGGGCAACTATGTACGGTTATTTGATAAATTCATATACAGTTTATGGTTTAGAATAAAAGTAAATGTAATTGTTAAAGTCAAGTTAATTACTGGAAAAACCTTGTACTCATCCAAGAACTTGATCTCATCGCGACGGCATCTGCATGTTTCGTGTTCTCGCGAACATAATGTAACATAGCGTGAATGGATAAAATACCTTTTACATTTAATTGAAACTCCTCCCGCTTCAGACCACCGCTATTACCGGCGGTACATCCGTACTTTCCTTCGTCGCTAAGATACACCTCTTTAATGTGCAAACTTCCGTTCTTTAATACTTCGAAACGGGGATCTTCTAAATTATTCATACGGGAATCCCTATCCCAGTGAATAGTCGGCTTTGGATCACCATCGGCGGCACAATGTAACATCAATGGATATCCCTCGATCGCTTCCGTTGGATTTTGCGGTTGTATCGTGAACTTCGGTGCGACTATGGAAGACAATATGTCGATAATGTTAATTTATTGTTCGCTCCGTACCTGCAACATAAGCACTTTACTACTTACTAACTACATCGATGGTAATCGTGTGATTGATGATTCCCTGAGCGTTGCTCGCGATGCAAGTGTATCGACCTTTGTCCTCCATCAGAACGCCGTTGAACTGCAGAGTGCCATTGATATCCTGCACGTGCTTGGGGAATTCGTCGTCCTCGTCCTCATTGACCCACTTCACTGTGGGATTCGTGGCACCTTGAGCCTTACATGATACCTTCACCGTAGAACCGAGTTCTAGGCGTTTATTGACAGGCTGGGGCGAGAATTTGAGCTTCTCCTCGACTGTGAGAACGGCCGGATCCGAAAATAGGGACGGAAATCCCATAGTGAATACTTGGCACATATAGTGTCCTTGGTCGGACAGATCAACGCTCTTGAAATGCAAGGTAACATTGCCGTGATTATCAGTCACGCGGTATCTCGTCGGCCCGCCCGATTCCCTCAGCTGCGTCCCGTCTTTCAACCAATGCACCTGCGTTACGGGCGGTTCCATGCCGGAATAAGAACAGGTTAATGTCACAGAATCACCTTCCATCACGCTGAGCGACTCTGGAGAACTTATGATACTCGGCGGGGCTAAAAATTAATGAAAATAGATATGTATATCGCTTTTGAATCATTATACGATAAGAATTTTAATTAGATTAAATTAATTGTATCTTAAAAGAAGAAGTATTATTGTTTTTAATCATGAATTTTTTATATTTGTTCGTAGAATCATATAAGCTTACTGGATATCACTATCTGGACGGATATATCCGTTTCGCCGGCTAGATTCTCGGCCACACAGGTATAATTGCCATCGTCCTTGCCCATTTCTGCCTTTGCGATGATGAGCGTACTGTCTTGTACTCGCACGGGGCCGGCGTCGCTTATTATATGTCCCGTGGGATCCCTCCAATAAACTTTAGGCGGCGGAACCCCTAACGGCTCCAGACAGCTTATCTGGAATTCTTGATCCTCGCCAACAATTGCCAACTGAGTTGGAAGTTTCGGTTCGAAAGCGGCCATCGAAAAGTTTAGTAAATCTGAAAATTTTATTTATATGTGTCTGGAAACTCTGTTTTCATACTTTCAAAAATACAAGAAAAAGTTAATTGTATAGTCCAATATAATAATAATTCTTTTGCTCTATTGCAATTTGCATTTAAAAGACATAACTCAAATTCCATTAATATTACAAAATTTAAAACATTATATATACAATGTATATTATTTAATATTTATGTTATCGAGCGCTCTTTAAACACGACTTAGAAAGCTTTTGACACATACAGGCAATTTGTAATTCGACCGTATAACTGATTGTAGTCTCGTCCCTTATTCCATGGCAGGAGTAAAATCCCTGGTCCCTTTGCTCGGCGGCGTGTATCACGAGAGTGCCGTTCTCGAGAATCGTTCGCTCCTCGTCGGATTCCAGCGGACCAATTTCCTTGAAGAACCACTGTACCTCGTCGGCGTCCTCGAAGACGCAATGTAGCACAGCCGGTTCGCCGCGCTTAGCGATCAGATTTCTCGGAACGACTTTAATCGTCGCAGTTTCATTTCCGGAAACGATTAACGGGTAACTCTCGGTCACCGGCGAGGATCCTGCCGCGTTCTTGGCCAGACAAGTGTACATACCGCTGTCCTCGGCAACTGCTCTATGTATGTGCAGCTTCTTCTTCTTGATCTCGATATGATCGCTTCGCGTCACGCTCATCGTATTTCTGTGAAACGAACAAACAAACGATTCTCGCTGTGATTATCTCCGTGATACAGGTATATGTAGATTATTTCACTAAAGTTGGATCAAATGTCGCATCACTCGATTATATCGCTAACATTTCAATATTTTGACAGAGACGCCGTTAATTTATTCCGTACGGTAATTCATCTGATGGACTATTCTCTCATTGCGTGACTTTAGTTGTGTTCAATTCATAATTTTACAACGCATGCATATTTTAATACTAATTTATTCTTCAAAAAAATTCCTATGAAAAATCAGCAAAAATGATCTCGTGCGATAACTGATTCCTTTTATTTTGTTACTATATTTTCAAATTAAAGACAGCGATAGACATGTACGTAGTTCCAAAATATCGAAAAGACACAGAGTTCTTTATTTTCAACGCATGGTGCACCCGAACTCGATGTCATTAAACACCGAAGGGGGAAAATCTCGACAGCGGGAGTGTCACTTCATAATTTATCGGTCCGGTTCCGTAAACGCGTCGGGTGTCAGCTAACGTTAGAAACTTGGTTCGTCCTTCGCATTTTGGTGGCTTTTCCGACATTATTGCCTCTTCCCATCTTCCTCGTCCTCATTTATCGCGAGACGCGCGAGTAAATAGACAAAGTTAGAGCAGACAAAGAGCAACTAACTTGAACCAATCGTATGTCATGTCGCCGGAGCCGTCGACGTGACATCGAAGCTCGATCTCGCTGCCCACGCGGATCGCGGACGGCAATTTTGGCTGCTGCAGCTGCACACTCGCTTCGCTGACCCCTGGAACAGAAATCGATAATGCCTCGATAACGCGATAATTAATCAAGCAAACATTTACGGTGTATTGTGTATACTTATTGTGTTGTTACATTACATAAATAGATGGAAATTAATTTTGAATTGAATTTCAATTTTTTTCACATTTATGGATTCGAGAGGATTTCGACAGATTTAATTTATATAGAAATTGACACTTTTACACTTTATATCTCAAATAGACAATAAACGAACGAGTTTTCTATTTCTTGTTAGAGATTTAAAAGAGGAAATTTTGACAAAACTATAGATTAAATGGTTTTGAAAGAGAGCGATCTCTGATTGATTAAAGTATCAAAATATGTAGATATTAGAATAAAAATTAAGATTAAAAGTAGGAAAAAAATTTCAACTCGGGTTAAGACCAACTGTGCTCCTAACTTACTATATGATTCAATGTATATCTTATTGGATAAAAATTTATTATTAGAAACCGGTAAAAATTAATGGTATCACATGCAATATAATATGTTCATTTTCATCTAATAATTGCCAATTATTATTCATGTGACTAATAAAACTTGCTATTCACATAATATGCTACGAAAATACGCGTTTTGTGTAAATTTTACGCTGGCTATACACGTGATATACAACATTCACATGTGTGCGATGATATAGAAGAAAGATTGTAATATGTTATTAAAGTTTAAATGTGCTATTAAAATCGCGGATATTAGATGCGGCGAATCTATAAAGCTAATAACTTGGAGATTATACGCGATATACCGCGAATGGCGAAGCGATTGCGCGCGTAATTACGCACCGTACAATTTCTTCCCGCTGGCATTCCTCTTTGTACTACACAGAGATCAGCAAAGAAAATCGAATTAGAACGGGAAGGCAGTTATAGAAGAAGAGAGGCGCACGAAATAAACGAGCTCCAATTTCTTTACGATGTTCGATGCCGTCGTTGAGACCACCCGGAGAAAAGACGCTTCGACGAATAACCCGCGCGAATATCGCCAGAGACCCGCCGGAATTCTAGAATGGAAAAGAAGCGCAGGACAATAGAAAGGAAAAGCAATTCCCCTAGAGATAGAGGTTGGGAGATACAGATAGGGAGAGAAAGAGTTGGGAGGTAAAGGAGAGGACGTTCGATTCCTGAGAATGTCAGGTTGATTCCTTCTGTCGTCGCTCTCTCCGTTTTTATACCCGGATCAAACCCGCCGTTGGTCTGAAAACATGCGCGGCTCTCCGTTTCTCTCGACGAATTTAATCGAGTCAAATAAAACACATCGGCTAAGAGAGAGAAAGAGAGAATGTGTTCCCATTCTCCACTTGTCCTTCCGTGGTTGTTTGCCGCGACGAACACGTCGCGAGCGAGCTCGTCAAAGTCGTGCGTCTCTATATATTATTTGTGAGGGACAGAAAAAACCCTCGAAGGAAAAACCGAAGAGTTTTGGCCGGCTGCCCTTCGCGTCGGGTGTCTGTCGTTTTTTTTCTTATCCAGACTTTGCGGCAGGAGTTGTCTGAGGTTTCAATGTTTGAAGGTGTGGCGAAACCGTATCGATTCAAGAAGAATATTTAATCATATTAGCTGTGTCGCTCTATTTATACAAAAACTAACATTCTTAATTTTTTATTTATCTCGTAATATGAATAAATAATCGTAATAATTAAAAACTACAGAAATTAACGAAAAGAGTAGCAATAATGATATTAGCGGGACTACGAATCATGGTAACTTATTTCGATTGCAGGTAGATGAATAGAGAGTTGCCGGTAAATATATATTCGAGAATCCTTCTTAATGGAGGAGAAACCAAAGTCAAGCCCCCCCTCTGGATTCGTTCAACTTTGCGGCGGGGAAGTAACGTCAGTTAGGGACGAAGGGCACATCGTAATTCACAGGGCAACAGTTGCCGAAGACCGTGTGGACGATAAGGCTTCGTTCATTAATTTGATTCATTAGTCCACGGCGTGAAATTGATCGGTCGCGCCGGCACCCTCGACGGATAAAATGAAACGTAATTACGCGCGACTGGGGCCTCGTTAAAAAATATGCGAATAGTTGAAAGAAAAACGCGCGTCACACATAACCGGATCGGCTCTGGAGCTTGTAAGCGCGCGATAATTTACTCGGATAGACTCGTTACCGCGGACGTAACGATTCACACTTCTATAAAGTGCGCGAGCAATTTATTACTGCACGACGGTCGGTTCGGTTCGTAACGGCAGCTTTTGATTTACGTCTCACAATTAACGGGCTTCGTTTTATAAAGTAAAATCCTAATCACACACATCAGGTCGTGAGTGTCTCTGATCTCCTGCATTTATCTAAAAATGCAAAATATTATACCGCGTCCTTCAGAATTATCTGACTGTATAATATGTAAGTGTAAGATTATATCTGTATAATTCTTTTCTGCATCTTACGATCGATTATCTTTAAACTTAAAAAAAAGAAAGAAAAAGCGAGTTTAATTAACATTTTTATAATATTTTTCCATCCATCTCTATCCTCTCAGTAGATAACGCCGCATCAAAATTTTAAACCGTTTTGTTAAAATTAAATAATTTTAATTAATATGAAGAAACAGGTTCATACAATCTGCGTATCTTATCATTTTGCATTAAGCATAAGATATGTCCTGTCATTCATGAGACGGAAACGATTTTGGAGTTTTCCGAGATGACATTATTAACACTTCGGCGCTCCCAGCCTGATTCGATCTTTTTATCTCCATCTGCGCGGCAAGCTCCTGTCGTCGGCACTTTTTTTCTCTCGTCCTCTATCCCTTTCGCTCCCGATAGCCGCTAACGCAAAGTACTGCAAACTGCAGACTCGGCAACGCATCGAGAGACGCTTCAACAATGAGCGGTGCGCGCGAGCACGATTGAAATGAGTTTCTCGAGGAGAGATATCGTGTGATAATTTACACCGTATTAGAGTGCTGCGTTAATCAGTTGCATGTGCTATAAACAATAATCTTTTTGCCGTTAATAGTCAACATATGCGCTCTTTTATAGACTCATAAATCTAACGTGCAAGACGCGTTAATATCCTATGTAAATTGATTGAGCTGTCAAATGTAAATGTTAACGGAAAGCTCATTTAAAACGCGGATCGGAGAAATCAATTCAATTCGTCGCTGCGCGTTTCACGGTGTGACCAACGAACGTCATTCCCACGAGATGCGTTTTCAATGTCGCCGGTTCATGGGAATGAACTTTGAAGTTGTCACGTGTCCACGTGACAGTCTCCCCCCACAGCTCCCATAGGCTGATCATTGATCGTGGACCGTCTGGCTCGAATCGTCGCGCGAAATTAGTGATGAAAATGTCTACGAGTGATTCACAGTCGGCACAGGCGACACATTAGAGACGAAAGGTAGAACCTTTTTGATTGTTATTTCCTCTTTCTCTTCTTCCTCTTACGCCCTATCCTCGGCGACGCGTGCTCGTCGGTAAACAGGCGAGCAGTTTAAAGAGGACTCGCGCTCGGAAACGCGCTCTTCCAGCATCGAGTCCATTAAAGAGCATTAATCTCAAGGAGTTATTATCGAGGAAGCGGATTTAAGGGTGCCGACAGTCGTCGGTACAAAGCTACGATAAAGAGTCGCGAGAGAAGACGGCCAGACCAGTCGCGAAACGAGAGAGAAGGAAAGAGAGAGGCAAAGAGGCTCTCTTCCCAGGTACGGAGGAAAGATGGAAAGTTGAAGTCACGAGGAGAAGGGCTCGTTTGCAATGACGAAACTCTCACTTTACCTCTCGAAGATCCAAACGAGATTTCGCCGGCTCACTCGAGCCATTTCTCTTACATTATAGAACCATCCCTTCCCCCCTGCACCTCCATACGCTATCCTTTCTCCCTCTCTGTTTCTTTCTGGCTCCGTTTCCCCCCTGCCAGCATTCGTTTTTCACTCCGTCTCTTTTCGTCGCCACTCGTTGCTCCATCGCTCTGCATCTCGACGAGTCGTGTTTAAATGCACAAACGAAGCGACAGATCAAAGGAACCGCCGGCAGTGCGTGCACAGCCGCGAGAGCAAAGGTAGAAAGAGAGAGAGAGAGAGAGAGAGAGAGAGAGAGAGAGAGAGAGAGAGAGAGAGAGAGACGAGGCAAAGCGGGGATAGGCAACGTTTATTATTATCATCGTGGTCCCCTCTCTTCGTCGTCGCTCGCCGCTGTTCCTCCTCAGCATCCAGTATAACCTCGCGTAGTCGAGATTAACTTTCGTGTAAACAGGCCGTCGCCACCACCGGGTGCACGCACACGCGTGCTGCGACGCGTGCACGCAAGCGCCGCGCACGCCCGCATGTGCCAGACCCGTGTCTCCCCGATGGCAACCTTGGATCGAAGGTCGGCCGTGGTATCTTTGCCGGGGTACAATACTTCGCAAGCACCTGCGCGTGACATATGTACACACTGATATGATGACTATACGCAATGATTTTTTTTAACGGATTTAATCAAAATTCCAGCTATTTATGTAACCCACATAATTCATGTTAATCTCATAAATCTAAATGCTCGTATAGCTTATGTGAATGAATTTGCCTCATATCGAAAATATGAGATGAAATTAAAAAATAATATATGAGATAAAAAAAACATGAAAAAAATAATAATAATATATAATATTTCCGGTTGTAAAAATTTGTATGCTTTTTAAAAATTGTTTTCTTAGGACACTTTCTATGTGAGAGGAATGATTTTTTTTGTCCATGTGAATAAAGATCCTTTATCTCTATTATCGCTGTTTGTTGATAACCTTGGATCGAAGAGACCGACCCTGATATCTTCGATAACGACCTTCCTGTTTGTCAACTGTTCGCAAGATTTAATTGCCTCCCATCGACAAGAATTTTGAAGCGGCACTCGAACATCAATTGCACTCGCGAAATACATACATATTTTAATACAGAGATTTAAATCTTACGAATATTTAATAGAACAAAGATAAGAGCCTTCTCTTGCAATTGGATCAAGATCATATCTTGGCCTTCTTGAAGATGCACAAA